GCCCGGGGCTGGGGGACTGCGAGCCCTGTCCCCCCCAGTCCCATGCTCTCCTCCTCTGTCCATGCTGCCAGGACAGGACCCGCACCCGCCTGCTCTGCCGTGCACCCACCCCACACACGCAGGATGGCTTCGACAGCTCCTGCCCCCCCACCACCCCCTGAGCAGAGCCTGGGGAAGGGTCCTGCCGGGAGGGCTCACCCCCAGCCCCGGCACACGGGATGCCGCCTGTGCGCTGGCCCCATCCCTCTGCCGACAGCTGTGCCGTGGGGCAAGCGCAACCAGCAGCTCGTTAATAATTGATGGGTGGTTAAGCAGGCAGGGCGGCTGCTCAGCAATACCGACCGGGCTGTGTTTACCCAGCGCCGATAACCCCAGGCCAGGCGCTGCAGGCTGCTCTCGCAGGGATATCAGCAGGCTGGGGGCACCGGGCTTTGCTCAGCATTACTTTCCAGCTGGGAAGGGGCATGGTGCTGCACTGGGACTCCGCTGCCCTGCTCTGCCCTGCTCCTCAGGCTGGGGACACACTGAGGGACACCCTGCTGCCACGGGCGCTCTGCCATGTCAGCAGCCAGCTTTGATCCGTGGCCTGGCCCAAGGAGGGGAGATGAAGAGGCAAGAGGATGCGACTTTCCCACCCTCTGCTCAACCCTGCTGTGACAGAACAGGAAACGTGACGTGGAAAGCTCCTGTTTATTCACCCTGAAGAAAAAAAATCAGGAGGGCAAACGGCTAGAGAGCATCTGTGACCATCGTGAGGGTTTCTGTGTGACCCGCTGGTCCTGTCTTGGCTACGGCTCCTGCAGAGGGAGCAGGCGTAGGGTCAGGGAGCTGTGCGGGGCACTCTGCTCACCAGTCTGGGTGACCCGCTGGTCCTGTCTTGGCTACGGCTCCTGCAGAGGGAGCAGGCGTAGGGTCAGGGAGCTGTGCGGGGCACTCTGCTCACCACCCCATGGAGGCAGAGACCCCATGAGCTCTGCCCGGCTCAGGGACAGCAGCCTCGTCCCTGCATGAGCCACGGAGCAGCAACCCTAGCAAGGAGGGGGAAAGCAACGCGAAGCTGGAGTGCACTGACCTTGGCAGCATCCTTCTCCTTCTCCTCCTTCTCCTCCTCCTCCTCCTCTTCCTTGTCCTTGGGCAGCTGGCTCTCTTCCCCCTGTGCAGCTGCCTCCTCTCCTGCATGGTCTTTAACCTGAAAGGCAGAGGCTGACCCATGTTCCCTGCCCCATGGCAGGGGAGTCCCTGCTGCGGTTGTCAGTTTGTCCCGTTCCCGGTACCTTGCCACGCAGGCACTGGGTCTCCGCCTGCACCCTCCTCTGCAGCTCCGCTTCAATGACCTCTAAGAACTCCCTGCGGGCACGGTCGAGCACCTCATGGGGACCCTCCACCGGCTTCTCCTCCACCTCCATCTCCTGGCCCTCCGACCTGGCGCGCTCCTTCAGCCGCATCTCCCGGTGCCGAGCCTCCAGGATCTTCTCCCGCTTCGTCTCCCGCTCGAACATCTAAGGCAGGGTAGGGGGCTGAGGGGTGCAGGGCCAAGCAGGGGACCCCGTGGGACAGCATGCTCTGCACAGGCACAGTGCAGGGCTCACTGCCAGTGCTTGCAGGGCTGCTGTGCACAGGGGCAAGGGCCAGCCACATGCCAGCAGTGCTGAGGGCTTTGCTGTGACCCGGCACAGCAGCTCGCGGCCTGAAGCACACGTACAGCGTTGGCCAGGATCTTCTCGTTCCTCTGGAGGGTGCAGAGCCCAGAGGAGATTTCCAGCAGGGTGACGGTGCCCAACTTCGAGCCGCAGCCAACAACACACCCGTTGTCCTGCAGGCGCAGGCTGGAGAGGGGCTCATCGCAGACCTGGGGAGTGTGGTGCCAGTTAGCCCTGATGTGATGCCCCATGGGGGAAGTCAGGCAGGACGAGCTGACAGAGGCAAATCCATGCACTCGCCAACAACAGGAGCCTACGTGCAAATTTTTGGGCACATGGGGCTCCAGGCACAGCTCAGGGCTGAGGGGACAGCTGCTGCTTGATGGAGCTTATCCCGAGCTCCGTGCAGGCAGGATGGCACTCTGTCCCCTGGCTCCGCCTGATCTGTGCAGAGCAGGGCAGATCTGCCAAGCACCCCGCTGCCGGCGCTCCCCTCGCAGGGCCAGGGACCTGGAGCCGCTGGGGACCCAACCTTCAGGCTGAGGGAAGGGTCGTTCTGCTTGAAGAGGAAGTCCCAGACGTCCAGGGTCCCGTCCGATCTGGTAGTGAAGAAGACAGCCGGCCTCACAGTGCTCCAGCACCCGTCCGTCAGGTAGGAGAGGTGGTACCTGCCAGCAGACCCGACACAGCGGG